CACACAGGCCCACCTCTCCAGCTTGTCCAGGTCCCTCTGGAGGGCATCCCTTCCCTCAGGCGTGTCAACCGCACCACTCAGCTTGGTGTCATCTATAAACTTGCTGAGGATACACTCGATCCCACTATGTCATTGATGTCATTGATGAAGATCTGGCATTTGTTCTTGTTCCATTTCATGCCATTGATGATTGCCCAATGCTCCAATCTATTTAGATCCCTCTGAAAGGCCTCTTGTCTCTCGGGAGTCAACAGCAGCTGCCCATTTAGTATCATCAGCAAACCTGCTAATGGTGCATTCAACTCCTGCCTCCAGATCATTGATAAAAATATTGAACAGAACTGGCCCTAGGATTGAGCCCTGAGGAACATCACTGGTGACTGGTTGCCAGCCAGAAGTAGCCCCATTCACTGCAACCCTTTGCGCCCTGCCGTTCAGCCAGTTCTTCACCCAGCACACCACGTACCTGGTCATCCCACAGCTGGAAAACTTGTCCAGAGGGATGCTGTGAGGGACAGTATCAAAAGCCTTACTAAAATCCAGAAAAACTATATCTGCCGCTTTCCCTTCACCCACTAGGCAGGTGACCTTATTGTAGAAGGGTATCAAAATAGTTAAGACAGGAGTGTACAATGAAAAAAATAAGTGTCACCCAGCTAGATGTTTAATACACTAAGAGCTATTCTGCCTGGTGCAGATCCTTGAAATAAGAAAAATACTGCAAAAGTTTTGCCCGAGTGCTCAAGTGTTCTGTCAACCATACATTTGCTTTAGCAGGAAAACACACAACCCTCTCCTTGGCATACACAACACCCTCCTCCCCTTCTCATCAAGGGCTATCCTTGCCCTGCCAAACTTTATGAATTCTAGTATTATGAATAGACAATTTCTCTACTTCTGCCCAGCGACAGCTGTGTGCAACATTCACTTCCTGACTGACGTCAGGCTGTACACTACAAATCTGGTAGATCTTTCTTAATGCCTCATCACAGGTGTAGTTCCACAATTTAACTGAGAATCCATAGCAGCTTTGTTTTCAATTACTTGGATAATATTTATGGTAAAGAAATTATATGCTCTACTTTTCAACATTCTTGTTATTTAGCATATGGCAAAAGATGGTACAGGAAATCCAAGATGTTTGTAAACTCTGAAGTGACTGTAAAATTAATTACACTTCTGATCGAGGGATTAGCATAGAAACTTCTTGAGACATTCTGTCCATTTTCTCATTAAAACAGCAGATGAAAAGTTTGCATGGAAGAAAACCCACACTTTTGTTCCCTTGGTTGCCTGATCTTAAAGTGGCCTTTTGCAGGTTTTACAATTTAATAAACTCAGTGATACCCCAAATTAAAGTGATTAAAAAACATTATTAGTTTTAATTTTTTTAACAAAAATGAAGGAAATAATGGTTTACCGCAGCATTATCACCAATTCAGTGCTACCTCCAAATAGCAATTTAGGAACATAAGGTTACAGAAGTGACAACATTTAACAATTTTCCTTCTCCTTACTTTGAGAAGTAATAAAAAACATAAGTATTATTTTTCTGCTCAAAATGAACATGGAAATCTACACAAGGTCTGTATGATCACTCAATCAGTTTCTCTATTTCTGATCCTTTCTGCAAGAGAAAGCTTTCCTAAACAGAAAGATTAACATGCAACTTAACCCCAATTTGCAGGACAAGATAAAACTACTTTGTGTGTTCTAGAGAAGTTGTTCTTGACTGACATATCAAGACACCACCACATAAAGATAACGTAATTCTTAACCTGAGTAAACTTCACAGTCCTTCATCTAGTGTGGGTAGAAAAGACATTTTTAGCAATTTCCACACAGCCAAGACAGCTATAATTCACAAAATGCTAATATTAACTTGAATTCATGTGTATGCTGTCATTGAGGTTTGTGACATTTCTTCTAATAGCTATAAAGCACAGAAAGTTATAATATGCGACCTAAGATGTGACTGGTTCTTACCTGTTTTCGTTTGGATTGGAAGCTAGTAATATCCAGCACACTCCTGTCCATAGGCTATGGGGGGAAAAAAAGCCTAAATATTAGAGGACAATTTTTTTCCTAAGAGGGTTCCATCCAACAAAAACATGGGGGTTTTGTGATCAACTTACAGAAGACAGCGGACTAGAAACAGACGACGGAATCCTTTTAGCATCCTGTTGAAAAAACAGTGCAATAAATTAAACTGTACACTGTGTAAGGAAGATCTTCATCCTATACTGGCACGTTTACTATGTTTTTCAAACACATGAAATAAAACAGATTAACTGGAGTGTCATTTACCGCCAAAGGACTTGACATCTTCTCCAATGACTGCAAGATGCGCCGTGCTGTGGAACTTGTCACACCATAGGACTGCACACTTGCTTGTTTAGCTTTCATTTGTCTTCTTACTGGTGGCTGAAAAATCAGCATTGCAAATGTTACGATGCTTGAATTTGAATTAAACATGCGTGTATTTTATGCCCTATGGCTACACTGATGATATAACCAATACTCTAGTGATGACAGAGAAAAATGCATTCACTGAGCACTCAGGCCATGAAGAACAAAATATACTCTACTGACTTTATAGACATTTAAGTGGGGCCCCACATATCTCGCACATGGGATAAAGCAACAAAAGAAATACTTAAATGTAAAAGGTCATAAAAGGGAAGATGTTAGGCCTGTGGGGTCTCTGAAGCAGTAATCAGGAAAACAGAACTGAAGCAAAGGCTTGTGCTGCAGAAAGTACTTTCAGTAGCAAAACAGATCTCAGAGTTTCGTGATGGTGTAAGTGTATCATCTTAAAACCAATGTATACAACCATCATCAGGAATTTCTAGTTTTACTTCTCATGTTTCCTCCCTTCCCCCAAGATTACAGTTGACTGCAGATCTTTTTACTCTTTTTAAAAAGATAAATATCTGATTTGAACTGTAACAGATCGAAACATACTACAGTGAAAAAGTAAACAGTTTTAATTGCACCACATGACTTCGAGTATAATTAAAAAAAAGGGTCTTTCAGTGTGGCTTTTTTTTTTTTTTTAATTATGTTAAACCCCTCACATAACCACATCATGCTTACCGCACTGCTATGTGAAGACAGGAAGCAGACCATACAGCATGTAAAAAACACAAGCGAGACTCGCTGTAATCCACAGCATGCAGCAACAAGCAAGCTACTCTCTCCTTTAAAAGCCTAGTATTTTGGTTCCTCTTTTCAGCATAATCCACATTTACTTTGTAAAAAATAAAAATAGCTGACCAAAGAGGGCTCCTAGCTTACAGGAAGTTTTGAGTGTTCTGAAGTCTGATTTAACACTGAGACAGAACAAACCACAAGTTTTCAAGGTTTCCCCTAAGTCAGGAACTTGTAGGTCCCCTTGCTCCATGGTAGAAATGGACTGCCAGAAATAGGTCCAGCAAACTCTTATTTCCAGGTCCTTAAATAAAGTTCCTTTTGACTTTTGATTTTTTTGGGGAGGTTTTTTGGTTTTGGTTTTTTGGATTTTTTTTTTTTAATAAAGGTCATTTTGATGTAAACACATCCCAGCCAAACCAGATTTTATTGACTTCCTTTCAGATTCAACTCTAGCTACTGAGAGTTGTCAGCTTTTTTTAATTTGATGGTTCATTTTAGAACATGAAGAACTCTTAGGGGCAAGTGACTCATTTCAAGGGGTACCTGAATGATATTAAAATAGAAAGCATTTTATTGTTTATCTTGAGATTGCATTCAGGACCGCATGCCTCCCTCTAGGTAACAGAAGAGCAAAGGATCAGAAAAGTTGCCTTTTTGATACTACTGTATTAAAGAGTGCACAGTTTTATACAATACATTCATAGTATGAGTGTAGGCATGCTTGTGTGAGATCTACAAACAAGTATCAGGCAGGTAGCTTTTGCTACTACAAATACAAGTTTTCAAAGTTATGCCATTATTGTTTTTATTTACACGTTATTTTAATATAATACAGCCAGAGGCAGACAATGGCAGAAAATGGAATTTTTTGAAAGACTTAACAACAGAGGAAATCCCAACTACAAAAAACTAGCCAGAACCTAAGATGCTACTGTCACTCTTGTGCATTATGACAAGTATTTCTACATAAACAATCAAAAAGAAAATTAAACAGGAATTTTTCTTTTCTACTCTTGTAGGCTGAAAGGGCAAAATAGGAACCGTTGCCACATTTTCAGCTCCCTGCTCACACCTCTTTCGGCAGTGCTACACCTTCTGCATTTCCAATTACATTTTCCCTCACGCTGCACTACTATTCTCATACCTGATAAGGAGTAATTCGTGCTTTTGTCTCCCTTGCTGCTGCAGCTGCCCCACCATAAGTGGTCTTTCCAGGGTAAAATGGAGAATCCCCAAGCTGGCTTGTCTTAAAGACAGAAGTGTTTCCAAGTGACTACGGAAAGGTATTATGGTAAGTGGTTAGTAAAATGGCTACACATTCAAATTGATTAAAATTAATACTGTGCAGTACTTACAGGAGAGGGAGATCCAAAAGCAGATAAATTGAATGCAGGTTTTTTAGAGCTAGGTGCAGGATGCTGCGAGAGGGAATGAGATCTTTCAGCCTCTGTGGACCAGAGCAGTGGTGCTGAAGTATTTTTTGAAACGGTGATATCTGCCAAAATGACACATGCTATATGTAAATGCCTTGTGTACATACAGAACTTTAATACTGAAGAGCACACTAACTCCAGAGTTATTTAATACAGAAAAATAAGTCTTACAGAATGAAAAAGCCCCCTAACACTCATTTCTGCAGCACTCTAACCTTCAGATTTCTTCAAACAGATCAATTTCACATATGGTATGACAACCAAGTATCAACTCTGAACCTGAAATCTGTTCACAGAACTGCAAATACATTACCTTTCAGTAATCCTTCAGAAGCACGCACAAGAAGTTAATAGTATGCTTCCAGTGCAAAGCAATTTTATTTTTTCTTCTTTCATGGTAAAATAAAAGGGAACTGCATAAACACTGGTGCATCTATAATGATACAAAGTTTTTCCTATGTTGGTAAAGGGTTGGAGGCCAGCATAGGTCAGAATTGCACAGGTTTTAAACCTGAAAAATTCCCCAAAGGCTGAACTAACAGAGTTAACGACCTATTTTCTACGTATGTTTTATGGAGACACACCAGAAAGCTCTAGTAAACTCAGGTTATATTGCTAAACCCTGGCAACATCCTCTCTGAATTGTAAAAATATGTTCTCCAGAGAACTTGCTGAGCATGCCTCAATCCTGTTTATATGGGGGACTAGAAAAAGCTGCAAACCTGCTGTTTGCCTTTCCTCAATGATGTCACCTAGGTCCCTGTCTACATCAATACAAGGTTTCTTTTTTTTTTTTATTTTAAAATGGTGTACATTCCTTACTGAATTCAGCAAAAGACATGGCAGTATTGACAACTGATGCCTTCTAACAAGAAAGCCCAAATAAGCAACTCAAAACTTGTTCAGTCAGAACAGCTCCTTTATTGACTCCTGGTGAAAACACAGGAAAACATCCTGTGTTTCTATTTGTCACCTGTATTTATTCACATTTTACCAGCTGTCAGTTAGATATTCCGAGATTGCTTCCTTCTAGGCAACCAACCTAGCTGTCAAGCTGCAGTGAGTCATCTTCAGTTCCTACTATCCCAGTTCAAAATTTACAGATAACCTAGTTAAAAGTGCATTTATCAGCACCAACTCTTTGTAACATCAGAGTCTCATAAATGTATTCCAAAGCATGGCTATATTAAAAAGGCGATAGGATTATATACTTCTAAAATACTAAAACTTAAATTTAATTCTAACCTCTAAAGCTGACATTCACCTACTTTATTTACTAAGGTGACGTGGAATATTAAAGAATGCAAAGTACTTCATGTTACCAAAAAATCAGTTAGAGAACGTGAAAGTTACCTTTATCAGATGCTCTAGAGGAGAAGCCACTGGTTGTTGAGATGTTATCATCATCATGCTGAGAGGTAGAATCTTTTATTTCTTTTACAAGAGACAGCCCAGGACTGCCAATGCCAAATGAAGATGTAGAGGGCTGACAATGTGGTACTGTGGAATCCAACATGGTACAGTTCAAATGGCTCCGATGAAGAGAGGGCCTTGTTAACACATCTGAGAAGTTCAATGCAGATCTACTCGTGGATGGTTCTAAACAAGAACAGGGAGACAATTAGTCTTCCTATAGGCAAGCTCACAGAAGCCAAAACCTGTTTTCTATCAACAGTCATGCTATTGCCAGTTCTAAGCACAAAAATAGAGAAGCTGAATTTAACTTCTTCCTCACCCAGATAGGGTTTCATCTAACTGTCTCATTACAACAGCAACACTGCTCACAATACGAAGTATTAATTTCACATTAAGAAGTAGTTAATAATGAGGTTTTACAACACCAAATTCTGACCCCATGCTCAAGTGCTCTAACGCTGGATCTTTCACTAAATCAAACATGTATAAATTCCTTCTTCTGCAGATAAAGCTTGCAATAAGCTTTCCAAAATTTGAGATTACATGGCAAGTTACAGACAACTCTGCAGTTTATATAATCTTGTAACAAAGACAATGTTAATCCGAATACATAACATGAAGATGTGTATTTGCAGAGATTTTGGGGGGTTTTGTTTGTTTTGGTGTCATTGTCCCCCCCTCCCTAATTCTACCGTATCAGGTCATGCTACAGGCAAAACATTATCTCCTATCCACTAACTTTTGAGATTTTGGCACAAAGGACAAGTAAGCCTCGTGGCCTCAGCTGCAAGATGGGCATTTTTTCCTCATGAACCAAAGGGTCTGCAAACACTGCCAGTGTCCTGTCCTGCAAGAGGCAGTCTCACAGCTCCAACTTGCCACATGACGGAACAGCTACTAATGGATACCTTGCCTGACATCCATTAAGTCCACAGTCTCTCCTGGGAATTCTGGGTATGAACATGATTCTGAGTCACTGTCCTCTTGATATCTGCACAGAAGCTTAAACTAGCTAATTCAATCTTCATAACCACTGCAGTACTACTAATTAGTTCTCCAAAGCACTGGTAGAGTTTTAGGACTGTCTTGTTTGAGATAAAGAAAGTGTTATCAGGCTGAGGGCTGGCCAAGCAAAGGAATACAGGCTCTAGCACATTGGTACCTCAGAGCTGAAGAAACAGGCTTTCTAAAACTGTAATAGTAATAATAAAAAAAAAAATCTTATTATTAACTATGGAAAGACTGGTCTACAACATCCACAGACTGCAACTGCTACTAAAGGTTCTAGGGTGTCCATCTGCTCCTGATTTCTTGGAGCTAGAAAGTTTGCTGTGCAGCTGTTCTTACTGAAAGGTCCTTTCACACAATTCTTCAGGAAAGCCAACACGTGTTCCTCATTCATGAAGACCTTCTCTATTCCTATATCCAAACTTATTCTCAAGCTACAGCTACACAGAAAGCAATAAAGCTCCTTATTTACAATTAGATGGCACTGGTGACAAAGGTATTTCCTCATTATTTTTCATTCTGCCAAGAGAAGCAACTGACTTTCCACACAGATGGTTATGTACATGTGCTCAGACAAAACTTCTCTCCTTATTAAAAACTAAGTTCCACAAAACTGCTAATTTAAGAGAAACTCAAATGAGAGCATATGCAAATTTACAGAGGAGAACTACAGAAACAGTGAGAAGAATAGATATAAAACACATTAATCTTCTATATGTAAAGTAAGGGATTGAAAACTTCTTTGCCAAGGGTCCAAACAGGTTTTCAAAGACCCCATGCTAGGCATGCACACACCTTAATGTTACCAAATATTTCAAAAAGAATAATGTCATAAACCAAGTTCCCCAGTTCTCCATTAAACTAACAAGGAACTTCATTAAATTGACTGAAGAAGCCCAAAGGGGGGAAAAAAAAAAAAAAATCAGGACGTGAGAAGGAATTTTCCTCTGGCATTGCAGCATCTGGTCTTTTGTTTTGAGGACAACAAAACAAATTAATGTTTTTATTCCCTTAGGCAATTAGATACTTTCATTCCAGACCTTTTAAAAAGAAAATGTAACCCAGCACACTTGCAAATGAATATTATCAATATTTTGCACCTGGCTAATTGACTACCTGCAGTTAACTGATGACTTCCAAGAGCTGTAAGACAACCTCCAGTATGTTTTGCAATTGTGTTTACAGTTTAAAGCTAAGACAGTTTCACAAACAGTTGTTGGGATTTTTTGTTTGGTTTTTTTGGGGGGGTGGTTTTGTTGGGAGGGGAAGGGGTTGGTTTTTTTTTTTTTTTAATTCTGTCAAAACGCTCCTTCCAGCTTCCCTTAGAAATTTAGATTCAAAACTAGAAATCTGTGAATAAATACAGATGGCCAGAATACTAAATGATTTTTCACATACCTTCTAAATTAATTCTTGCTGATTCAGGCGTGACTCTCCCATCAATCACTATGGTATCTTCATTTGCATAATCATGGTGATAGTTTACTGGATTCTCTTCCTGGTTTGTAGATTCATTTGTATCTACACATTCATCTTCAGTTTTGTTGAAATACTTCTGTAACCATCCTGGTACAATGTTTTTTACCGATTCTGTCACTCTGCTAATGATTCCCTGCTCGAAAGAAAAAAACACTTGTTAATTACAGAAACACAGTCAACAGCATACACTGGGATGCAACCTTGCACAGACCTTGAAGACAGACATTAGATAGCAAATATTCAGGACAACAATAAGATAGAGGGGGTTGATCCTTGACATAAGATCTCTATGCTTCTGGGACACGCATGACAAAAATTCACCTAACATTGATTTACTACTAACCTATCAGTTTCTGCACTTCCCAGTGACCTTGGCAGCGTTCAAAATTCTGAAATTTCAGCCAAAGTTCACCAGAGGCTTGTCAAGTCACAAGGTCATCGGGAAATTCTATTTCTAAATAAGTCCTGATGTATGTACTTTTTTTCAGGACTCCTTGTCTTAACGCCTTCACTTGAAAAAACATCAAAAACAGAAGCTCAGCAATTATCTACAGTGATAGTGATGACCATAATAGCTCCTAAAAATCAGTGAACTTAAATATTTCTAATTTTTCTAATGCTGAACTGCAGTAACAACATGTATGAAAGAAATCCTGGAAGAAACAGCTATAGTGGAATAGCAGATGCCTCACTACAGTACTCTTAAACAGATCCATTTTGATCAAATTTCATTTCATTGTATGTTAAAGTTTTGGATCTCCAAACCTTAATATTCTGCAATTACTGAATACATAAAAGCCATTTCTATTTTGACATTTACCTATTACTTGCAACGCTTACATTCTACGTTTAGGAAATATTTATTTACCATTTTGTTTTAGGCAGTCACTTGTTCCCCATCATGCCCTCAAAATTGCAACACACCTTCCTGTCAAATCTCAACCCCGTTACAGCAGATCGCTTGCAGCAGGGAGCTCCTTCCCTCTTACACTGACTGCAGGCACAGAACCAGCTGCTAAACTCCACGAGCTGCAAGCAAATGTGAAAGCCAACTCAGCAATTTCAACACTTCGGAAACTGAAAAGTAACAGGAGTTAAAGAGATTTTTGTTGAACTCCACTGTCAGTTGCTAACACATGTACCAAAGGCTCTGGCAAGGTACTTTGATATTTTCATGGGTTTAGGCAACAAAATTTTCTAGTCAAAATAATTATTCAGGTGTAGAAAATTGAGAATAATCTTTGGACTTGTAATAGTCACAGTCTAGTAAACAATTCTGAAACAAGAACTCTGCTGTATTCAACTTTCTTAAAAAATTTAGCACACAAACAAAAAAGAAGCCCATTTCACTTGTTCAAGTCTTTCGTACACAATAATGCAAACACCAACTTACAGGAGTTATAAACAGATTAGACACTTTTGAATCTGGAGTTAAGGGGCGGGCAG